ACAAAACAAGGAGCAGCGGGGATCCCATCCAGTGAAAGCCACTTTCTAGGGCAAGATTCTGATGATACAGAACAGCACACATAGGTTCCATGACTAAGGGTACCTGCACCATTCATAGCATCTGTGGGAATGTGTGATAAATCTCCGCATAAAGTACTTCATGTTTCCTACCTGGCACGTTCCCTCCAGCCCCACCTCCCTGTGGCACATCTCTGAAATAGGTCTACTTACTTCCCCCCTTGTTTCTATGGGGTAACTTCCACCTCAATCACCCCCTACTCTTTTTATTGCTATCCACTTCGGGAGTAGTCTAGTCTCACTGAGTACTCACTGTGTTCTTTCAGTGATCTTCAATTTCTGTTCTCTGGCCCATGTCTGCAAGTGGTTTTTATGTGACTGAAGAGCTCAGGCTGGAATGTAGAAGATCAGTGGGGAGCTCTCGCTAGGACTTTACATGAACATGCAGATTGTGCTCTGAGACCTCAGGCCTCAAGGGAGAGGCCCAGAAGCCTCTCTGGTACAGGAGAAGTGTCTGCACTATATTTTGAAGCCTGAGCATCCAGACCCAAGAGTACATGATTTGGCTCTGGATGGAAAGCATACTCTCTGGAATATTAGCGCTGAGGTGTTATTATATAAGGATGGGCTACCATAGGGGTCAAGGGTAGAAGTTAACTTTTAAGTCTTTATGCCTACCAGGGAAGGATTGTGTTCATTACTTAAGGGGAAATTCTACTGTCTTGAACTTCAGATATGTGTTCAGTTTATTAAAAAAGCTCTTAATCATCATATAAGTTTAAATTTGAAGTCCTAAAATTGTTTATGTGAATTCCTATTCTGCCTGCTTGTAGCACCAAGTTTAGGGCAGAAATAAAATGGTTTGATATTGTTATAAAGATGTGAAGACAAAAAGTAAAATCATCTTCGGTGAATGCAGATCCCTAGCTTGAAAAAGGAAAAGTGAATAATAGCAACAAACACAATTGTCATCAGTAACATTTCTTGAACATTCTGTGTTCATCAGCAGTTGAGGAAGCTGGCACTTGGGAATGTGTTGATCCTCCGAGGTTAGGTGAGAATGGCCTAGCTCATATTCTGACAGAGGCTTGTCTCAGTAATCGTTGGCTTCCTCGTCATTCTGGTTTTGAGGACTATCTCAAATGTTACCCTTTAACCAAACTCAAAGCCGATGTGGCCTGAAGATGGTGAGAGGTTTTCAGCTGTCCTGGGAGATTTCACAAGTCTTTAGGCAAATGGGCTGTCTCTTTACAATGGCCTGCAGGGAACAGCTGTGATATGGGCATACATTACTTCCTCCCCAGGAAGTCAGGCTCTCTCCTCAGGAATGAAGGGGCTGCTCATATAAAATAAAAATTATGTTCACATAGTTCATATACAGTAAGAACAATAACTAGTGAAATAAAGTTGAGAGACAGTTTGTATTTGTTATATTAGCAAAATGCAAGAATACTGAAAGACGCTGGTTGGCAGATGAATGGGTGTGACTTCTTTGGAGGATAATGACATTGTTTTACCTACACAAATTATAAGGTTACAGAAATATTTACACAGCAATTCCATCTCCAGATAGTATATTGACAAATGCATTTAGCCACATAAGAACTGACACATATGTATGAGAACTTTTGACTACAATACTATTTATAAGACTACATAGAAACAGATACCCTGGAAACCTATAAATAAATTCTGATAAGCACAATACACCAGAATTCAATGGATGAAACATATGGATATAAAAATAAATGCCAAACCTTTTCACATACAGGCTATGAGAGAGCTAAAAGACATACTCATACATATATTAAACACTGAGTTGAGGACAGCACATGGTTTTCAATGGAAAACAGCATTGGAAGCAAATGAGTGTCCCTTTACAGTAATCTACAGAAAATAGCTATTGAATATGATATACTGGATTTCTCCTCAAGAAAGCCTGGCTCTCTCCTCAGAGTGAAGGGGCTGTGATGAGTGTAACCCAGAGACATCTGACTTAGGAGTTTTTGTGCAACTGTATTTGTTTATTATTTTTAGATGATTCTATGTAGTACAGACTGGCCTCAAATTTGCTCCATAGCTGAGGATGACCTTGAACTTCTTCTGCCTCTGCTTCCCAAATGCTACAATTATAAGTTTGTACAACCATACCTCATTTTATAAGGTAAGGGAGATTATGAACCCAGGACTTCAAGAACATTAAACAAATACTCTACCAACTGAGCTGTATCCCAAGACATTGTGAGACTTCATTTAGACTGTATTTCTCCCCAGCCAGTGGTAATCAGCTGTAGTTTAGATGTTCATTATAAAAAATTCTTTTATTTTTTATAATTGTAGACCCAATATGCACACAGCTTATATATATATATATATATATATATATATATATATATATATATATATAATTTGTATATACATACATATATAAAAAAGGAAATATAATTATTTGAAGTACTTTTTGATATTTGAAGAGATAAAACAATTACTGAAGTGTAGACAAAAAGTAAATATGTTTGATATGCATCTATTTCAGGAGACTCAATGTTTCAATAGCCTTACATATTGGGGCATCTGTGGGAGCCCGTTCTTGGGTTCCTTGTGGCTTTACCCAGCAGGTCCACATGGAGGATGATTAGGACCACGGGCCTGAGTGCAGGTGTCTGAGATGGTCTGCACTTGGCTGTGCTGGGGGAGGAGGTCTTTTGCTCCACCCCTTGGCATCTCTATAAAAACCCTGGACCAGAGACAGTCCGGGCCCATTGGAATAAGTTCCAGGCCCTCTCGAGGCTATCCTTTATTTTCTATCTGTTTATCTCCGCAAGATTCTCCGCTATAAATCCTTCTATCTAATATTTCCTGCTGCTCGCACTCAAGAAAACTCTGGGAAGCTGTGGGGGTGGTGGGTAAACGCCCCACAGGCATCCACAGGAAGGAGGCTGAATAGTCACCATGTAATCTCTGGAAATGGAAGTGAGCTGCTAACACTTTCATTTTCTACTACATTGTTTGACAACCTGATCTCACCATCTCCTTTGTATTCCTCTAAATGTGGAATGCTTTTCTCTGGATTCCCTAAAGATATCCTCTCTTATTTTCTTGGCCCTGAAAATAACCTCTCTTTTATTTCTCTGGCTGTCTATGGGAAGGTCCTTACTGTGGGTTTGTCAGCTTGATTTCTCCCTACAGCTCTAAATCATTGTTCTGTACAGAGTTCCACTGCCACACAATGGGTAAATCTAGCAGAATGGGAGACTTTTAGGCAGCTATAAATTCTCAGTTCAAAGCATATACACGTATGGCAAATGGGAACTTGGAAGTCAGGTCATAGGTATAACTTCTACAGGCAGTCCTTGTCAGTCATCACAGTCCTTAAAATGCAATATGAAAGCAAGATTTTAAATGTTTCAAATTTATATTATTGTCTTAGTAAGGGTTTCTATTGCCATGAAGAGACAATATGACCATGGAAACTCTTATAAAAATATTTAATTGAGGTGGCAGCTTACAGTTTCAGAGGTTTAGTACATTATCATCATGGTGGGGCTCATGGTGGCATGCAGACCGACATGGTGCTGGAGAAGTAGCTGAGAGTCCTACATTTTACAGGCAACAGGAAGTAGTCTGAGTGCCACACTGAGGGAAGCTTGAGCAAAAGAGACCTCAAAACGCACCCCCACAGTGACATACTTCCTCTATTAAGGCCACACATACTTCAGCAAGACCATACCTCCTAATAGTACCATTCCCTTTGGGGCCATTTTCTTTCAAACTGCCACAATATTCAAAGGCTTTTTTAAAATTTTGTGTTTATTCATATATTAGATATTATAAATTCTGCTTAAAACTGATTCTAAACTTCATTACAGGTAGTACAAAGTGTTGCAGAGACAGAACATATGTGGAGAAAATACTTTCTCAGTGAAGTGAGCACTCCATGAGTGAAGGGACCTGGTCTTGTTATTACTGCTCAGTCTTGATGGTCTAGAATTGTGCTCAGTACATTCTATTTGGCTGAATTATAAGAGCAAAGTGTTTGAGTTCTTGCTCCATTGACATATGCTAAGTTTTAATAGTTCTTATTCCTAAATCTGGCCCAGGTAGAGGGCAACAGTAGCTCTCGGTTCTATGTGCATGAATAAGATACTTACTGTGAAGAAGCAGTAGATTTTCAGTTGAAGAATAAACATTACGTTAATGCTACCTGAGGCTCTGTGAAGAATCACTAAAAGAACAGTGTACATATTGGTACCTCAATAATCTTGACTTATAAACTCTTCAATTGTTTAAAGTGTCTGAAGAGTCATGTTCAACAACACAAAAAGTAAATAAGGAAGAAGTTTGTTTCTCTGCATCTATGTAGAACAACTTCAAAATATTCTATAGTGCACAAGGCTTGTAATTTTAGATAACCTGGTGTGGGGCCTCGGTGAAGCTGGATAAATGACACATCAGTGCCTGTGTGGAGGACCCTCTTTGAACTCCTTGGAACTCAAGTATCCGTTTACCTACTGTGGAATTCAAAGACTAAGGAGGATACAATACTGATTATTTTCCCTCTTCCTAGTGTAGGGAGTTTTCTCAGGTATCTTTCAAATTGCAGTTTCACTTTTCTGATGAAGAATGAGGTGTTTTAAAGGAACAATCTTTCTTGTATTTCTGCCCCAGTTTTGCATGCATGCTACTCAACATGATGTATATAATACCATTGATTTTGTGAGCTAATCCATCACAAATAATCCATATTTACTTGTCATTCCTTTCTAGTTCATTACTAGACTCTAATTCCATTCTACTAGACACTGGGTTTTTAAAGAAAGATTTATTTTGTTTAAATTGTGTGTGTATGTGCGCACGTGCACGTGCGTGCATGCACACGTGCATGTGTGCACACATGCATACACATGAGTATTGAAGTACAAGTGCCCATGGAGGCCAGAGGAGTCCTATTGATCCCTTTTGACCTGAAGTTGAAGGCAGTTCTGAATTGCCCAATGTGGGTGCTGGAAACAGAACATGGTTTCTATATGAGAGCAGTATGCACTCTTTACCACTGAGCAACTCCACAGATCCTAGACATTGTATTTTAGGCTTACATCAGTTATAGAACATAAACTGGGATGACCTGTGAGTATAGAAACCAACTAAACATCCCCCCTTTTAACATCTTCCACTAAACTCTGAGCCTCTTCTCTGACAGCATTCTGATGATGCCACGGCGGATCTCCTTAGTCTTAATGCTGTAGACAATGGGATTGATGACAGGGGGGAAGAAAAGGTAAGCATTGGCCATCATGGTTTGCAGCAGAGGTGACACATGATGTGCAAAGCGATGTACCATAGACAAGCCAATCATAGGTACATAATAAGCAAGCACAGCACAGACATGGGAGCCACATGTGTTGAGTGCTTTCTTCCGCCCTTCTCCTGTGGCAATGCCCAGTACAGTATGGAGTATAAGCCCATAGGACACCACAATGAGCAATGAATCCAGCCCAAAAGTGGCAGTAACAATGAAAAGTCCATAGATATTGTTGATAGAAATGTCCCCACAAGGTAAATGGATAAGGTTGGGATGGAGGCAATAGGAATGAGAGAGGGCATTGTGACCACAGAAGGGCAGTCTCTGTAACAGTATAGGCAATGGGGCCATTAGTATAACACTCTTCAGTCCAATGACAGCTCCTGTGCCAAAGATTCGAGACAGTGTCAAGATAGTTGTATAACGCAGTGGGCTGTAGATGGCCACAAAGCGGTCTACAGACATGGCTAACAACACAGCTGACTCCATAATGGAGAAAGAATGGATGAAAAACATTTGGAGAAGACATGCTTCAAAGGTAATCTCAGAAATATCAAAAAGGAAGATACCTAGTACTGTTGGTAGAGTAGAGGCAGAGACACCAACCTCAGCCAATGCCAGCATGGCAAGAAAGAGATACATGGGCTGATGCAGAGAAGTGTCTGTTCTGATGACATGAAGAATGGTGCCATTCCCAAGGAAGATGATGATGTACATCAGGCAGAAGGGGACAGATATCCAGATGTGCTTTGTCTCCAGCCCTGGGATGCCAACCAAAATGAATGTTGTAGGTAAGAACCCCACAGAGCTATTGGAATTCTTCATGTTGAAATCTCATCCTGTGGGGGCAATGCCACCTCAAAAGTCAGAAACAAACTAGTGAGATTACATTATGTTGAAAAAAAAAACATTGGGCATCAAGAAAAGAGAAGAAGAAAACAAACTTTGATTAATGTGACCAAAGATCTCGTTTCTGAAAATTGACAGATGATCCCCATTAAAATATTTTCATTGTGAAGGAGTTTCTGTTTCTGTCATAAAGAAGTCATAGATGAAAGAAAAGTATACATCCAAACTGCATTGCACCACATAGACCAGCTAAGAAGGAAATGACTGTCTTGTTTTGGTGTAGACACTCTTGGCTGTAGAAAGCTACTAGGGAGATAAACCCATACACAATCCTAGAATAAGGTATTGACTAATGTTTGTAATAGATGAATAGAAGTTATTGATAAATATATAAGTACAATACAACAACTTTAAAATCCCTAATGAATAGGTAATGAATAATGGAGAACCAAAGCAAGGCTGAGGTCATCACAATGAATGCAGCCTGGAGCAAATTACTAGAAGGACTGTGTGCAAATGACCAGATGATTGAGAAGGTGTCAGGAACCAGGTTGGCTGATTTGGAAAGACTTCAAAGTTCCTGAAAATACTCTGATGACACTCCCAGAATCTTCTGATTGATAATCTTAAAAAACTGCTAATCTTATTCATTAGGATTTCTTTGTCTTAGACATATCAGTGACTTCACAACAGCAGCAATACCAAGAAACTGAGAAAACTTTCAATAAATGCTTTCCTGGGCAGGGAAATGTTGTCAGGAGATGAAAAATCACCTTCCTAGAATGAGTAAAGTATTGTCTTGGCCAGTACAGTAATACAAGAGCATCCTGGACAGGGAAGATAGGAAGGACTTCTCATGGTAAATTTTCAACACATTTGTCAGTGGGAACCTGTGCACATGCACACCCACCCACCCATACACCCTGCTTATCTATTCTCACAGGCACAAGCCTAATGTACAAATTCTCTGGTACAACTTCTTTTACAGTCACTACAACAGAGATAACGAATTATTCCACATTGGGCATTATTAAGTTCTTTCTGCCTTGCTGAACTATATCCAGTTAGCATTTCTCTCCACCATTCACCATATATGATGGAGGAATCATAGAGTCCTGTGTTTACTCAGGAAATCTCTGCAATTTTTAACCATAAAACACAGAGGGCACATGTGCTTCTGCTTCTGTTCAGACATGCTCGTTAAGGATCCAAAATCTTCTTCTCAGTTATATTACATCCTGGGCTGGAAAAGTTCAGGGTACCATGAAAAGATGCTAGAAAGGGAATTTGCTTTGCTTTTGAAATCCAGAGGAAATTTTACTTAGAAAGTAACATTTCAGCTCAGACATGAGGATCAATAGAGAGTTTTCAGATTAAGTGGGGAAGTTAGGTATATGCTGCATGGGTATCCAACCTGCTGACTGTGGGATGCATGCAACTGATGGTAGCTATGCATGTGAACCAGCCAGAATCATAAACCCACTTAAAACACTATGAAATTTTCCTTGTAAGTTAATCTTGCAGTTCTTGATTGTGAACTTTGTAGATGCTGCTGCTGTATGCAATGTCAAAAGATTGAACATACCCGATCCCCCTCCCACCAAAAAAATCACTGCCACAGTCAGTGTGTGACATAGTATTGTCTCAAACACTGAATTAAGATATCAGGAAAATGAAAATTGTAGATACCCTGGGATATTAAAAATCATTGTTTATATAACCTTTTGCAAAAATATCAAAGATGCAATGAAAAAAGCACCCCTCTTATTTTCCTCCTGCACATAGGATCCCTGTTACTTATCACTCTCAGACACAGTTTAACTCAGTAGATACCAGACTTGGGAAAGGTCTGTATAGTGGCCTGAGATGCAAGTTAAGGTGGACAGTCAGGAGCAAATCACTGACCTCAGAAAAAGTGATCACACACAACAGAATGTGTTAAAACACAAGCTTCAACATTTAGTTTCTTTTTTAAAGTATATTAAAAGAAACAATCAAAAACTTTATTTGATTAAGACTAACATTTTACTCTATGAAGTGTATTTAAAAAAATTTTTTAAAAAAGTTTCACTTATTATGTATACAGTGTTCTGCCTGTGTGCCAGAAGAGGGCACCAGATTTCATTACAGATGGCTATGAGTCATCATGTGGTTGCTGGGAACTGAACTCAGGACCTCTGGAAGAGCAGCCAGTGCTCTTAACTGCTGAGCCATCTCTCTAGCCCTTTTTGAAATTCATTTTAAGTGGATCAAGTATTAATCTCTTGGACTGAACAGCTCCTTCTCTTGACTTGCTTTACTGAATCCTTGACCCCACTGAACCCATATCTTGCTCGCCATACCTCAAGTTAACTTGATTGTGAAGAGACCAATCCTAGGAACAAGAGACCCCCTTACCTTGTTTTTTTCAGCCCTTTGTTCTGTGTTAATTTTGTTTATTATTGCTCTTGCATTTTTGTCTCTCTCTCATCTCTGCTCTCCCATCTCCAGATGTTCTTGAAAGCAATCTTGTTGTTCTCCTGAGTTTAGGATGTGTTGCAAAAGTTGGAAGGTGAGGAAAGAGATCAGTTATCTGTGAAGATGGAAAATAAACAGCATAGAAGAGAATAATAATATAGAAACTATCAGCTGAAAGAAGAGAATGTCTTACACTGAATTCCACAATCCTGGAACTGCACAGAGTGGGAGGTAACTCCTATGCTAAGTGCATCTTCACCTGCTTGTGTGTATATTTGTTTCTCTGCTGTTAAAGACAGCAGTGTTGCTATCTGCCTCATACAGGGTCTGAGTATTTATCATGAGCTTTTAGCAGTAAGTCAATATTAGTATTTGTTGCCCACAATCTCCTTTTAAAAGCATTCTCTGGGAGATCAAGTTAGTTTATACCCAGTTTTCTAACAAAGCCACTATTTCTTATCACTGCCTAGCTGATACCCTCACAGCATCTGTGAGGGAAACAAGAAAAAAAGGAATTCTCATTAATAGATCAGCTTCTGAAAAGATGCATGGGTTGCATGGGGAACCCCAAGTGAAACATGAGAAGGACTATTTCTAGATCCTTCTGATATTGTTTTGTTAACTTGCTGTTAGCTAGCTGTCTTCAGCCTTAGGAAATGCTTCCTCTTATTCTGCCTCACATGTTCAGGAAGCTAGAGGGACACGCCTGAAGAAACCTACACAGCTTTGACCTGGGATGGAGGTGGGACTCTTTCTGAAGCTGCTTTAAGATGCAGGGCTAGGAGACCATAGGTTTGAGAACTCACCACTCAACAGCAGGCTGGACCAAGGGAGCTCACTTTGGCAAGTCTTTTGCCTACATCATTCTTTTCTTCATAAATCTGTGGCTAGAATGATTCCTTCCATCTTTTTAAAGTCAATCGAAATCTCTGAGAGTGGAGTAATAGAGACACAGTCAGGTTCCCTTAAGAGCAATTAACTAAGTAATCAACTGCTTTCTCAGTGTCAGATGCCCCTAAGGAAACTAAACATGTGTATGAAAGTGAATGTGGATATATTTATTTTCTGTGATAATTAAATAAGTAATGTATAGAAATTACTTAGAACATTTTATATCCTTACAATGTAAAATGAAAGCAAACACTTGCAGAATATTATGTTATCTTAAAAGAGTCATATAGAAATTAAAATTAGAAAAAAATTACAAAAGGCTAAGGAAAGCATGGGGGTGATGAGGTGGTTAGAAGAGCTTAGCCAAATATACAATTTTATAGTTAAATAGGAAGAACAAATTCTGGTGTTCTATTATTGTATAGTAGGGCAGCAATGGTTAACACTAATACATTGTCTCTTCTAAAATAGACAATAAAGAGTGTTTTGAATACTATCACCACACAGAAATGCTAAAGAGCTAAAGGATGAATATGCAACATTATCTTGACTTCATCATTACCCAATGTATAACTGTGTTGAAAGATCATCTAATTGTATTTTATTATTGCACCAGTTAAGGATTAAATACTATATAAATATTTTAAGACAAAATAAAAAACATATTTTGTCATATAATCCCATTGTAAAATTTACTAAGATTGTCTGTGAAGTGTTTTCTTTATGCCAGTAGTTTTACAAGAGAGGAGAGGCTGTGTATAGTTGTATAGTTAGCAAAAACATGCTTTAAATGTTAAGATATACATAAATATGACAAGACCTAGATATTATAAATCAAGAGTGGCCCACAAGACTTAGAAAAAAGTGGAGGAATTCAGGGAAGAAAGTCCTTAATAAGTACAAGAACATAACAAATATGAAGAGGTGTTTTGACAACTTACACAGCCAGGACACAAAATCTACCATCCTGCAAAGAAAAGATATTTAAGGACTACAGTGAAACTGAGTTTAGTGTATAGGTAGAATGATTATAAAATACTCAACAGGTGCTATTGGAGAAGAAAATATAGTGCATTCTACAAAGATCAAATGAACGTGATCATCAATGGAGTCTTTAAGGAAATGTTCATTCATTAATGTAAGGAAATGCTGAGAAGTTTTCTTAAAAGACAGGTATCAGACCATCCAAGTGACACACTGAAGTGGTAGGTAGACAACACTTCTACAGTCACTCTGTAGAAGAAAATCAAAGTCTAACAAAGTGCTCTCTTCCAACTCTTAAACATATAAGTACATGGCTAGCTGAGAGGCTAGTTATTGGGGTTAGTCCATTTTCAGGGCAGATATACGATTGCATATTGAGACAAATGAAAGGCATGTAGATATCTAGAGAGGACTAAAGGTTGTGAAAGAAAATACAGACTGTTTTTATTCTTATTTCTCTCAGGAGCTCTCTCTTCTGAGCAGGAGAGAACATAAGTGAATGATGGAATATTAGAATGGATTTCAATGTGTCTGAGGAAAAGACAAAAGGATGTTTGCAGTCTTAAGGTTCCCTCACCTCAGGGGGTGTTAATAGGTGAGACAGAGGTGGAACACAGAGGATAATGACTGGGACAACTGGACAG